TGTCCTAACAGACGGTATTTCGAGGCCTATGTGCATGTCTGAGGACCTTGAATAAGTTCTCGCTGTTTCCTAACAGACGGTATTTCCAGGACTATGTGCATGCAACTTCAGATAGTAATGCATCTAGAAAGAAGTACTATCGGTAAGCTTGAACTTCAGTGTATGTATGATAGTTCGCCACAGTGCAAACAACGTCTTTTTAGTTCTAAAAATGTCGAGTTTTGTGCCACGTAAAGAGTACCAGCTCGACCACCGGGGTTGTGATAATATTATTCTAAAAATGTCGAGTTTTGTGCCAAGTAAAGAGTACATTATGAGATATTACACACTACAAAAGGTGTGATATCACGTAAAAAACTTACCTTTTTAAAAAAAAGGTAAAAAAAAGCACCAAGTATAAGCTCCAATTCAACCGAATATATTTTGTTACTCTATCTTTTTTGCAAAAGCATATTCTCTACAAAACTATCTTCTCTACAAAAGTAATGATTCCAACAAATTGCGCCAAATATAACAACGGATATTTATACAAACTAGTTGCTTTAGTATTAGTTTTTGATTAAAAAATGTTATATTTCTTAAAAAATCAAACTAAAGATTTTATTGGAAAAAATAATGGAGTTAACAATAAAACACCGATGAAAAGAATAGCAACTGTTTAGAAATTTAGAAACTCTGTATCTATTCAGGCGAATTAAGGCCTGTGTCCATGACGCTAGTACTTGGTCCAAGTTCTAGTTTTGAGAATTGCGTAGCCAATCAACTTACAGCTTTTGTGGGACAGCTACATTGATTGGCTACATATTTCGCGGAATTAGAACTTGGACCAAGTACTAGCGTCATGGACACAGGCCTTAATTCGCCTGAATAGATACAGAGTTTCTAAATTTCTAAACAGTTGCTATTCTTTTCATCGGTGTTTTATTATTAACTCGATTATTTTTTTCAATAAAACCTTTAGTTTGATTTTTAAGAAATATAACATTTTTTAATCAGACCCTAATGCTAAAGCAACTAGTTTGTATAAATATCCGTTGTTTTATTTGGCGCAATTTGTTGATATCATAACTTTTGTAGAGAAGATAGTTTTGTAGAGAAGATAAATATTTACACGGGTACCTTGTATCTAGTATACAGGTTGTCCTGTATTAATCGCCCATCCTCTCGTGTGCAGGTAGACAAAATGGGGCGTTTATTTTGAGACAATAATAGATCTCGGTTGGAATGGATTATTTCGAAAAAAGTTTCAGACAAAAGTTGTTTGGTTTCGAGGGGGCCATAAGATGGTACCATTGGTTTGACCTTGAAGAATTATTTGAAGGTCACATAAAGGTCACACCAATTTTTTTAAATGGCATCTCCTTTTTTTTATTACATATTCTTGTAGCTGACCTCGAGAGCTTTCCAAAACGCTATAATAAAGTATTTTGTTATTAAGAACTTTTTGAGTTATTAAGGTTTGAATGTTCCAATATTTTGACATAAATTACAAAATATCTTGTAAAATATTCATTTTTTTATCATCTTACCTGAATACTTTTTTGAACAGAATAATGATACAAATCAAAATTTTTTTTAACAATTGTGTGTTTTCTTTATACCGGTTGATTTGTATCATTATTCCGTTAAAAAAAGTATTAAGGTAAGATGATAAAAAAATGAATATTTTACAAGATATTTTGTAATTTATGTCAAAATATTGGAACTTTCAAACCTTAATAACTCAAAAAGGTCTTAATAAAAAATACTTTATTATAGCGTTTTGGAAAGCTCTCGGAGTCAGCTACAAGAATATGTAATAAAAAAATAGGGGATGCCATTTTAAAAAATTGGTGTGACCTTTGTGTGACCTTCAAATAATTCTTCAAGGTCAAACCAATGGTACCATCTTATGTCCCCCTCGAAACCGTACAACTTTCGTCTGAAACATTTTTGTCTGCTGGGCTCAGTTTTCGAGATATTTTACTGTCCATGTTAAAATAGGACACCCTGTATATTAAATATTGTTCAAGTGGTGAATGTTCATGATAGACGCGCGACGTGGATAAGAAGGCACACGGACAATAACTCAATAATTTAGAAACTCAAGTAATATTCAAATAAATTTTAAATAAATTAAATTATTAATTAGAGATATAATAATGAATTTATGCGAATTTTTCTAGTGTTGATACGATACTTAATTGATTTACTTAATTGATCATTTTTTAAGATTTAATTACGCGATCTTAAACAAATATGTAATCTACATGTTATAGTATTTAAAAACTATAATTTAGAAGTAATTATCTATTTCTCAATATATATAAATTAGTACTTTTTATTTACAATATTTTTAGTGTTCGTCGGAGAAATTCGTCACTCGCACGAATAAATTTTCGAAACTTCGAAGCTTCGAAACTTCGAAGATTTCGAAACTTCGAAGTCAACTTCGAAGCTTCGAATTACTTCGAAATCTTCGAAGCTTCGAAGTTATGAAAAGTAACAGCTCTATTCTGAAGTACGTCCTGTGGACTTCCTAAAGAACTTTCGGAGGATGTCTTCGGGACCTCGTGAGGATATAATGAGGCGCGCATCGGGTGTTCCACAGAATGTCCTCAGGACGTCCCGGGACTAAAATGGGATGTCCCCACAACGTCCTTACGTCCCGTTCTGGATATTCTAAGGACGTCTTGAGGACGTCCTTGTGCTATTTGGGATGTCAACATATAAATTTCGCATTTATGATATCTAAAAGATATTCTAATAATTTTTGGGGGAAAATTAATTTCTCATTATTATAATGTAATAAACATAAAATTTATTATACTGCACTATGCATACATAGATACAATATACAATAGGTACAATATACAGAATATATTTCGAGGTGTTCTTTTTATAAACGATAAGTTTAAAGATACCGTTACCCAGTCAGAAATGACTGGAAAACCGACGTCGATTCGATATCGTTTCGACGTCGGTTTTCCAGTCATTTCTGACTGGGTATCTTCCAAACGAAACAATATATGCTAAGGTTATTTTAATGGCTCATAACATTTCGTAAAGAAACAAAAAACCAATGGAAAACCTTGCTAAATACAAAGTAGTAGTAAAGTAGGAGCAACTTACGAGGGCGACTGACGAAACAGTGCATAGACTTAACCGTTAACGAGGAACATTACAAAAAAACGCACGAGTCAACTACAGAGTGCGTCTTTTTGCGAGTCCGTCGCGACTATCGAAGTTTTCGATCTGCGAAGGGCTCGTCGCCTTAGGTTGTGCATTGTTTTTGCCACCAACCACTTTCGCATATGTAGCGCAGTGCGTCTACAAACCCAATGATCAGGCAATGAGTGGATAACCGGTTGTTTGCGCCTCGATTCCAATCGTTTTCAGCGCCGTTTTGATGTTCGTCTCCGGGCTGGGCGCCATCCACGATGTTTTCTTGATCTTGGACATCTTTGTGGCGGCCGGGCCGGGTAGGACGCACTGGACGACGATCTCTCTCGATGCAGCTTCCGTAGCAAGGTCGGGCCGTGTCGGCTCAGTGGTCAATGAGCCGAGTGCCAGTAATAAGAAAAAGAAGTAGCAAGGTCGGCGCTGAGCTTACATGATTACAAGATTACATCTATACATAGATTATACATTATCTCATTCAAATTAATTATACCCAGATAGCATTTTGACATCCAATGTATATACATTGCATATACATCAGTGTATATGACATATCCTATGAACATGCAATGATACATCAACGACATACATTGGATATCGTAGGTATGTGCAAATGCAACGCGCTGTACATGCAATGTATATCCTCGCAATATACATGTGTATATTTGCCGAACATTCTATGTACATGTGTATGTGAATATACAGAGAAGTATATATATGTATATATATTTATAATATACACAGGTATATTGCATGGATATACATCGCATGTACAGAGTTGCATTTGCACATACCTACACTGAGAGTTGAAAAACAGTGATGGTTATAACATTTTTCCTCGTTTTTAACTTTTAGTCTTTCTTACAGTAACCATTACGTACCACTACAGTAAGCATTCTCCCAGTAATCAGTATGGATTTTACAATAACTATTACGGATTCTACAGTAATGAATATAGTTCAACTGATTGACTGTTAGGTACTTACTAATCCAGTATTGAATCAGTATACTGTATTTCCACAATCATTACGATAAAAATCAGTAATGGTTTTGGTACAAGATTTTATTGAAAAAAAAAATTTTTTTTCAAAAGGAGTTATAGTGTCCTCGCGAACATTGACCTTTCAGAGCCTTGGAAAAGTGCGTTCGGCTCGCTTCCACGCGCCTCCGAGCGTGTTAGCGAGATATTAAAATTGCTAGTTGCGTCATCCCACACCTCCTCGTCTGGAAGCCCTATCCTTCGGCTCCCGCTAATCTCTATTTCCCATATCCCCACTTTCCAAGAGGTTTTTACGTAACACCTGAATAACTTTTAAAATCTCCAAGATAGAATTTGAACACCATCCCTGATGTTCCATTTAGTTGCGTCACATATACAACACAAACACACACACACACATGCGCGCGCACGCACGCACGCACGCACGCACGCACGCACGCACGGACATTATTAAGTAAGGCGGGGG